ATGTGAAGGCTGACAGGCGTGCACACATGTGAAGGCTGACAGGCATGCTCACATGTGAAGGCTGACAGGCATGTACACATGTGAAGGCTGACAGGTGTGCACACATGTAAAGGTCAGAGGCGGCTTGCAGGAGTCATTTCTCTCCTTCCACCTGTGGGTTCTGGAGACGGAACTGTGGTTGTCAGGTGGCTTGGGGTAAACCCTGGTTCTCAGCACAGTCTGGGGAGAGTCTATTAGGTTACAAAAAACTCTCCTGACCCTTGAACCTACAGTTCCTAGAGTGACCTATTCTCCCACATTCATGGCTGCTGCAGTCCCTCCCCCTTGCCTAGCTAATTTCTTGTTCCTTAGCCCAGGAGTCTCTCTTCCATGAATCTACCCTTCCACAGGTCTACAAAGACAGCACACAGGCTCTACTTGTTCCTATAACTGCAGTGTTGAGCCTCTTCGCCCTGGGCCTCCAGAAGTTGGCCCCTGTATAATTTTTAGGATAGCAGCTGTACTGCCAAGCGGCAAATGGAGATCTATAGCAAAGCTATCATTATCTTAGATTGGTGCCTGAACCTCAACATCTGGTCAATGATGACTTCTGACTAAACAGCCTAACCTTGTGCCTAATGCAGACAGCAAAGAGTCTGGACTGCTTGATTGCCTTTGGACAACTGACTTGCCAACTTTGTACATGAATTTCATCTTGAAAGTAGGGATAATTATAGTTGCTGTCAGTCAGCGTATTTTGAAAAGTCAATTTCAAATTGTAAAATGCTTAGCCCAGGACTGGGCAACTAGAAGGAACTCAACAATTGCTGGCTGCTGTAATCAGAATAAAGGAAGAGAAAGAGACACAGATAAATTCCTAGGAAATTATTAGCATCCTCTTTCTGCCTGCCAAGCAAATGAACCCCTAACATGGAGACAGCATTGGCTAGTATGGGTGGGTAAAAAGCTTCCGGGTGTATTTCCTTCCAGTGAGTTCATGGAGCACCCATCCTGGCCTGATGGTCAGAAACTGACTTAAGAAAAAGGGAAAATGTGAAACCCTGGCGTACAGCAGCAGGAGCAGACCTCTGACTGTTTAAGAAATGTACCTGTTTCTATCTCAGGACACTCTGAAAGGCAAGCCCTGCTGAGTGCCATGGAGGCCAGACTGGAGCAGTGCCTTTGCCTCCCTCTGTGGAGCCCCTCTCCACAGACTGCAGGCATTACCCTGAAATTGTAGGGCAGGTTCCCTGGAGACTTCCTGGTGAGCTCTAGCTTCCTTCTCTGCCAGGCACCTTTCTTAATTACCGGTGACCTTGTTCTCTGAGCTCCAGGCATTCCTGAGCAATGGGAACTTAGCCTGGGGGAGTCTCAAGTACTGAGCATCCTTTACCCCTTGGGCCCCTGAACTCTGATTGACACACTGGGGCAATAGACCTGGGGCTCAGCTACTACACAACATCATACACTACCCTAGCATCTTGGAAGCAGGAGGCCCAATTTCCCTCACTGAAGTACTTAATTTCACACACTTCTGTTTTCATTAGGCAATTCCTGCTGCTCAAACCCTCACCCCACGTTACTTTTACTTATGGCTCTGGCATGACTTAAATTAACCTAGGCAATTAATATTTAAATCTAGGAAGACTGACAAGGACAGCTGACCATGGAGTAATTTTCAGGGCCTGTTGAAAATAATTTGCATTTCAGATGCATAGAGCTTTTAGCGTTTGAAGTTCCCCCAAAACACACTGAAAATCAAGGGACTTATCCAGTGTCCCACTGCCGGGCGAAAACTTGAGCCCAGCGTTTGCTGACTCCCAAGCAGTAACCTGCCAGGCCATAGAGGACAATGTCATATTTCACTATGACATTTAATTTTAATCTTGGGGAAGAGAAAATAAAACAAACAAATCCACATTCTCCCCAGCCTGAAATGGGTTTTCTAGTAACATTTGTAAATAGGCAGATAAAAGTATGTTTCTGTGTTAAGAAACTTAGGACAGGCTGAATGGCTGCCCACGGTTTCACAGGGTGAGCTGAGACATGGCTTTGTTAAGGCAAACACAACTGGGGCCCTAAGAAGCCTTGTAAACAGACCTGCAGGGGTGGGGGCATTTCTCACCATGGGAGCTCCGGTGCAATCTTTAACAAACAAGGCAGGATTCTTCTGTACACAGCCCGCTCTTACACTGCCGTTGGCCTTGGAAAAATAGTTCAGTTCCTTTTATTTGATAGGCCTTTTTCACCACCGGATGCTGATCCAAACAGTCCCTGGGCAGAGTCCCTGTGGACTGAGGGCAGTCAGCTCCTGGCTCTCATGTGTTCTGAGGAGGGACTGGAACCAAGGTAGCCACACTCTGGAGGACAGAGCCACCACCATCGTCCACTGCCAGCATCATCTTTGACTCAAGGCGGTTTCGGCAGCCGAATCCTCAGAGAGGCCTGTTTTGTAGTGTGAGCAGCTGTCAGTGGGCTTGTCCTGCAGTCTGGGGAGAAGCAAGGGAGGAGTGCACGCAAGTGTCCAGGGCAGAACCACTGGGGGACTGTGGTGTGGACCATTCTGCGGGATGTATGAAGATGGCGGGAGACCACAGGGAGTTCTGATGGTCTGCCTTCGGTGTGGGGCTTTTCCATAGGGTTATTATGTATACGCTGCAGGTGTCAAAGAAAAAAGTGAACATCGTGTGACCTGTTTGCTTGGTGAGGTGAAAGAGTCGGAATTTGAAGGGGCGACATGAAACTGAAAGTCCATCAAAAGAGGATCTGCAGACATCTCTTGTGATCGTCTGCCAGAGGAGTCAGGAATGTGAGCCAATGAAGAGCGAAGGACGGGGTTGCCAGCTTGGGGTGTGACATCTCCGACACCAGCAGGATGTTCAGATACTAGCTGCAGTTCCTCTGTGTGCTGCAAATTTCATTCTAAAACTCTTCTTAACCAGCTGGGCAGTGGTGGTGCACACCTTTAATCCTGGCACTCGGGAGGCAGAGGCAAGCGGATCTCTGTGAGTTCAAGGCCAGCCTGGTCTACAAAGTGAGTTTCAGGACAGCCAGGGCAGCACAGAGAAATTCTGTCTCAAATAAATAAATAAATAATCTCTTAACTAATAGTAGGACTATATTCACCTGTTAATACTTACAAGGTGGCCACAGTACCAGACAGTGACAGGTCCAGAAAGTCTATACATCAAAGCAGTAGTGAAGGCCAGCATTTCTCAACTTGTAGATCAAAACCCTTTCTCAGCCGTCACCTAAGACCATTGAAAAACACAAATATTTTCCATTACAATTGGTAACAGTAGCAAAATTTGAGTTTTGAAGTAGCAACGAAAATAATTTCTTCGTTGGGGTCACCACAACATGAGGAGCGGTAAAAGGTCACAGTGTTAGGAAGGCTGAGAACCACTGCCTAGGCCATCTCCCAGGGCCGTCTTAAAGAGGGGTCGAGGAACCATTAACATTTCGATTATATACCTCTATGTCTACGTTACTTACTGTGAAGATCCATCTTTTTAAGTTTCAATTCATTAAAGGAAAAGTCCCTAAGCTTAAACTCACTGAAACAACCCTGAAAACAGAGGAATCTGTAACTTGGGTTAAACTGAATTCACATCACATGTGGGACCTTCAGAAATCCCTCCGCCTCAGCCTTGTTCATTCCTAATCTATAACGACTCCATATTAAAGTGTGGGTTCCGGCAGCCTTCCCTCCCATACACTACCTACAAAGTCTGACCGTGGATGGGGACCCTCTCCTCACTTTCAGAGGCGGTTTATCCATCAAGGTCAGTGACAGGAGCGTGTCTTCTCATCTGTCTGTCTCCAGCTCCCCCTACACAGCTGACATGTGCCTTTCTACCTAGTTCCCCGGGCGCCTGCCAGGGAACCTGAAGAAGGGCCTGACCTTCTCCCACAGGAATGATCTGGTCGGAATGCAAGGAAATCTGGGAGGAGGGGCCGCGGGAGTACGTGCTGCACCTGTGGAACCTGCTGGATTTCGGCATGCTGTCCATCTTTGTGGCTTCCTTCACCGCCAGGTTCATGGCCTTCCTCAAGGCCAGCGAGGCCCAGCTGTACGTGGACCAGTACGTGCAGGATGTGACGCTGCACAACGTCTCACTTCCGCCGGAAGTGGCCTACTTCACCTACGGTGAGTTCCAGGGGCCACGTGTTGGGTCTGAGAGGGGAGCGTGCCAGTCGCTTTGGGTGGTTCCGGGACCTGGGATTTGGAGACCATGGGTGCCCCAAATTCTCTTTGCCTACAGCGCTTACAGAATGTGGACATATTTGTGACTTAGAAATGGGTTTTTGCCTTTGGAAGGATGGGGTTGGTTTGGGAGAAGTTCTGGTAGCATTTCTGTAGATTTAGGGTTTTGTTTTCGAAGAATCCTTCCTTTTTCCCCCTGATGTGGGGAATATATATACTGAAAATTTTCTGTCTATCCTGGACACTGTGTTCTGCACAAAGGCATGCTCTGTTTTAAGTTTAGCATTCTTTCTCGTGGTGAGAGAAGCTCTTAAAAGAGACATTAATACATTGATCATGCGAGTTTGAAACGGGTTCCATGGGAGTTGGTGGCACAGCTTAAGGAGGCTACAGAGAGCTCCCCTCTGGTGACGCCAGGATTCTTGAGAGCCCTGCAGAAAATAATTACAGAAGGAGCCAGTGTGAATGAGAGTTGGAGTTTATTTAGAAGAGATTTTTGTAAGGAACCCTAACTAAGCTCATTAGATCACCCACCTCCCAAAAAAGCATAAAAGTAGAATGGGACTAGTTTGGAAGAGGGGGATCAGCAGTAGTGGAAGGAGAACAAAAGAGGGTGACGGATAAACATGTTCAAAGTGCATATCATAGATGTATAAAATATCAGCACGATATTGTTGTGTGTAATTTGTATGCTAATAATTACTTTTTAAAAAAGAGATTGTGACATAATTTTTGAGTATGAGCTTTAAGAGAGAATGAAGAGAAGAAATATCCGGCATCCACGTGTGGTGTAAGATTTTCAAAAGAGTTGCTTTTCTTTACAATAGCTTATCACACATGCATGCATGCGCACACATGGCATATACACACACAATTTTGGCAGCTTCTGAAGGTGAATTTGGAAGGGTTGCTAATGATCATCAACAAGGCCATAGGCTGGCCCCTGCTAAGGTGAAACTGTAGGTCACAAGAGTTGCATAATGGAACTAAAATATTTTTTACTATAATTGTAGAGCCTCACTTGTGAAATACCCAGAAATTTGCAGGTCTATACCTTGGAAAGGAGTAAAGTGGTACTCAAAGGTCCTGTACATCACTGCTATTTTCGTATTATTCTTTAGAAATGTATTTCTTTAGAAAGAATGTAAGCAACCTCCACAGTCAATTTTTAAAATATTTTGTTAATTCTTTGCGAATTTTAACAATACATTTTTATAATAATCACCCCAAGCCTGTCCCCCAACTCCTCCCTGACTTATCCCTACCTTACCCCAAGCCTGTTCCCCTAACTCCTCCCTGACTTACCCCTACCTTCCCCCAAGCCTGTCCCCCTAACTGCTCCCTGACTTACCCCTACCTCCCCTCAAGTCTGTGTCCTTTGCTTTAAAAAAAAATCAGCTCCAGCTTGTGCTGCCTATATATTCCTTGTGGGCAAGCATCCACAGGAGAGCATGGTCAACCTGCTGGGAGCCACATCCTTAGAGAAGATGGGCTGTCCCTCACATGCTAGAATGCTGACGGGCTTGCACTTGTGCTAATTTTATACAGGCAGCTGTATCCATACTTAATGACATTTTTGTTTTGTTTCATTGAAAATAGTTTTTCCATGCAGTATATTCTAATCCTGATTCTCTTCCCCTCTCTCATCTCCTCCCAGATTCTCCCCACCACCCCAGTGGTTCAACTTCATGTCTTCTCTCTCTCTCTCTCTCTCTCTCTCTCTCTCTAGAAAACAGGCAAATAAAAATTAAACAATCAAACTAGAATAAAACAAACAGGGAAAAAGAAACAAAGAAAAAGCACAAGAAACATATACCCATGCAGACAGACAGACACACACACAAATCCATAAAAACATATAATCAGAAACTATAAACAAAAGACCCATATGATTAAAAAAAGAGAGACAAACATGTTATGAGACAAAACATCTTCAAAAATATCATTGTGCATTGTGTTTGTTTTGTGTTGATCATTTACTGCTGGGCATGGCGCCTGCCCTTAAATGTAGTTGGTATATCCAGTGAGACTCCACTGGGAAAAAAAAAAACCTAACTTTTCCTTTGTCAGTTGGAGATAGCTTCTGTGTTCATGGGGGTGGGGCTGGGGGGCTCTAATCTAGCTCCCCTCTCAGCACGGGGACTCCATCTGCCTTGGCCCTATACAGGTCCAGTATATGGCTGCCACAGTCTCCATCAAAGGCTTAACAACTAACATCTCCATATAAGAGTGCATACTGTATTTTTTTCTTTTTGGACCTACGTTACCCCACTCAGGATAATTTTTTTCTAGCTCCATCCATTTATTTACAAATTTCATTATTATTTTCTTTTAACAGCTGAGTAATACTCCCTTGTGTAAATCTATCACATTTTCATTATCTATTCATCTGTTGAGGGACAGCTAGGCTGTTTCCAATTTCTGGCTACTATAAATAGAGCAGCAATGATTATCGTTGAGCAAATGTCTTGTGATTGGATGGAGCATCCTTTGGGTATATGCCCGAGAGTGGTATAGCTGGATCTTGAAGGAGATCAATTCTCAGTTTTCTGAGGAACCTCCACATTGATTTCTATAGTGGTTGTACAAGTTTTCACTCCCACCAGCAATGGAGGAGTGTTCCTCTTGCCCCACATCCTTGTCAGCATTGAGATATTATTCATTTTATTGATCTTGGCTATTCTGACAAGTATAAGATGAAATCTCAAGGTAGCTTTGACTTGCATTTCCCTAATGACTAAGGATGATGAACATTTCTTTAAGTGTTTCTCAGTCATTTGTGTTTCATTTTTTGAGAACTCCTTGCATGGTTGGATACCCCATTTTTTTTAAGATAAGTTTTCTCTGTCTGTGGCCCTGGATGTCCTGGAACTCACTCTGTAGACCAGCCTGGCCTCAAACTCACAGTGATCCACTTGCCTCTGCCTTCCGAGTGCTGGGATTAAAGGTGTGTGCCACCACCACCACCAGGCTAAGTACCACATTTTAATTGGATCATTTGTTTTCTTAATGCCCAATTGTTTTTAATTCTTTAAACATTTTAGATACTTACTGTAGGTGGACTTTTCTGCCCCACCAGCCAGCTCCCAAATAACCACATGGAGATTTATTAATTATGATAGCTTGGCCAATAGCTTAGACTTGTTTCTAACTAGCTCTTATAACTTAAGTTAGCCTATTTTTATTTATCTGTGTGCTGCCCTGAGGCTTGTTAACCTCATATACAGATTGTCCATCCTGTTTCCCTGCTTCCTCCATGTCTCCTCATGACTCTGCCCTTCTTCTTCCCAGCATCCAATGTACCTGGAAATTCTGCCTAACTATTGGCTGTTCAGCATTTATTAAACTAATCACTGTGGCATATCTTCATAGTGTAAAGGAATATTCCACAACAATTAACCCTCTATCAGATGCATAACTGGAAAAGATCTTTTTCCATTCTGTAGTCTGTTGCTTTGACTAAATGATGGTATCTTTTTCCATACAGAACTTTTCAGTTTCATGGGGTCTCATTTTTTCTTGATCTTAGTGCCTGCACTAACAGTGTTCTCTTCAGAAACGCTTTTCCTATGAGTTCAAAACTATACCCCCACATTTTCTTCTATCAGATTCAGGGTACTTGTCCTTATGACGGCATATCTAGTGTTCTAATTTGGCTGAAATTCTTGATTCTTAGATTTTAACTAGACCCCACAGTCAGGGGTTCTTTTCCTGTCCTTTGTCCTGATAAAGTTTTCTGTCTTTCAGTAAGGCTCTTGTGGTTTTACAAGGAAAGTTTTGTGTCAGAGAAAATCCTGGCCTTCAGTGAATTGAAAATCATAGCCTATGAATTTTTTCACTTTATTTTGTGCATGGGTGTTCTGCATACACGTATGTCTGCGCCCACATGCACACCTGGTGCCAGCAGAGGCCAGAAGAGGGCATTAGACCCCCCTGGGACTGGATTGCTGAGAGCGATCATGTGATCGCTGGGACTGGAACCTGGAAGAGCCATGCTCTTGACCACTAACACATCTCTCCAGTCCTCTGGTAGCTAATTTTGTCCCCAAACTTTGAAATTAGAAAGGCCTGGAGTCAAATCCTAGTCTGTAGACTACTTTGCTGGTTTATTTAGCCTTTTCTGTCTCCACTTTCTCATGTGTGAGAGGAGGATGACACATTATGTCAAAAGGTTTGTTTGGAATTAAATAAGATAATGCAGATGTTTGCATTGCCCATGAAAATAGTTATTATCAATACCTCTTTGGCCATTTTTTTTAAATCTCAAACATTGTACTGCATGTTGTAAAAAGAATAGTTTCGGGGTAATGTTGGCAGAGACCACGCGTTCATTTCCAGCTGCCCTGACCTGAAATAATCACACAGAAACCAGAAGCTGTATTATTATAACACTGATTGGCCTATTAACTCACACTTCTTATTGGCTAGCTCTTATATCTCAAATTAACCCATTTCTAGTAATCTGTGTATCACCACGTGGCTGTGGCTTACCAATAAGGTTCTTTCTGACGTCCTGCATCTGTCTCCTCTGGCAGCGGCTCCATGACTTTTCTCTGACTCTCCTTCTCTCTCTCTTTCTGTCTGTCTGTCTGTCTGTCTGTCTATCTATCTATCTATCTATCTATCTATCTATCTATCTATCTATATATATATATATATCTTTCAGCCTAGCTTTGTGCTGTTAAGCCATTGGCCGAAAGCAGCTTCTTTATTAACCAAAGGCAATAGAACATATTCACATATTACGTCACCTCCCACATCAGGGTGAGGCTCAACAGTTTGGAGGTGATGCTGGTGGTGCTGGTGCTGGTAGTGGTGAAGGTCAAAAGCTAGCTGGTGCTTAGTCAGTATTAACTAGTGGCAGGTAATTTAAATGAATGTCAAATGTCCCTCCTGTCAAATGCTGTTTTGTTTAATGGCCCTTGTAGACTCAGAAGATCTATGGGCAGGCAGACTCGTGGTCTTTAGTGAACTGACCACATGATGTGAATGTGGCTTGTCTTACAGCCATTGCTTCCTGGCCCCTGCTTCTGGCATATGTTAATGTAACAAATCCAGATTTTTCTTGAATGGCTTATGATTCCTGCTCTATGCTGCTCAGGGAAAGATGGACATGGTCTTCTTAATGTAACGGTACAGACTGCAGTGTTGTCCCCGTGTGACTTCTGTTCCTCTGTGAATTGTGTCAGGTCAGCTCCAGCACATTGTTGTCCTTGCCTTTTCCGGTTCACCTTGGGCCCTTGGAAATACTCCGGAGCTCTTGCTGCGCGCCTGTGCCCCAGCTGCGGGCGCCGAGCTCCCTCTTGTGGAGAGACTAGCAGTGGAGCCTCCTAACTATTTCAGCATCAAAAAAGTAGGCCCAGGGATTTTTCAGGTTTTGAAGACTTTTTTGTGGTGGAAACAGCTCTGAGATGAAAGTCTCTTTGTTTGAATCACACCGTGCAGCTTGTTTTACGCCCACGCATCACGCATCACTATAGCTCCGACAAACCCATCCAGGCAGAATCGTCCACACCGGAAGTCCCGCCCAGGAGCCAGGAACAGACAGAATCTAGCCAAGAGAAGATGCTATAGCTGAGGTTCAAGATGATGCATTATTGTTGACATTTAAAAAAAAAGAATTCATTTTGGTGTCTGTTTGACAGAAGAATCCACTTCCTATTTCATAACACTCAAATGTGTTATTTATCTCTAGAGGGCAGCAGCTGTTTTAGAAAACACATACTTTGTTCTCTTGGTCTGCCTTTCGTGGACTTCTGAGTTCTGACCTTGGTAGCATGTAGTCTGTGTTAATGTATTCCAAGTGTAATTTGGAAAGTGCTGCATGAAACTCGGTGGCACAGCTTCGCTTACTGAAGGTTTCTATTCTAATTATTTAGCAGTCTAGCTCTGAAAATAAAGAATAAAATTCTTCCCCCGCCAGCTCCCTTGGGGTGCCAAAAATTGCCGTATAATATGCTTTCTATTTGCACTTACTGGCTCTGAAAAGGACCCCATACCCCCAAATCCAATCTTAAAAATGGCAATAGTAATATCTGCGCTACAGGGCTGTTGTGAAAATCACAGCTAATTTAGTGCGAGGGCTAATTTAAGTTTCTCAATGTTTCTCATTTAAGCTTCATTCAGCAATTCTCAACAGGGATGCTGTTGGCTTTGTCAGCGGGGCAGTTTTCGCCGTGTGGTGCAGTCTGGGATGTTCTGAGATGTTCAGCATCTGAGGGGTACTCCTACCCAGTCACTGTGACAAGCAGGCACCTTCCCAGGGGGGTGTTGCTGCCCTCACCTGAGACTCACTGTCCATCCTGACTCCTCTTAGGTAGCAGGTCTGCAAGAGATGCTGGCCCTTAAACTTAGGTCTTGCAGTAGCACAGTAGGGGCCCGATGCAGGTTCACTCTGCTAGAGGATGCCTATAAGGCAGCTTGGGCCCCAGGACTCTCCAGCACTGTTGTGGCAAATCCATGTGGATGGTCACCACCTCTGAGACCATAGCTGAGTCAGGAAAAAAACCTGCCAGCTCCCACCTCCTCAGGGAGGGGCTGGAGAAGAAGATTATGATCTCAGGCGAACCCTTCAAATTCCTGGTCCACAGAGGAGTTTATTTGTTTTGACTTGTGACCATCTAAACTGGAGGTTAGAAGTTTCTTCAATCACCTGACAGGCATTTCTCTGTGTCTTCCCTGTACCAGACTGTTCTGACCTTTTTGCATGTGTGACTTAAAGGCCACCATCCATGAAGGCTCATGAGATTGTCTGTCATGGTTACATGGGGACAGCGTGGCTCAAAAAAGCCAGTTGACTGATTCTAGGCCCAATGCTCATCCCCACTGTCTTGTCAAGCTTCCCCAGTGAGTGGCTCAACTCCTGTGTGTGGAGGAGGGGACTCACTGGTAAGCACTGTGGCAGCTGTTTTAATGGATGCACATAGGACAGACTCCATGGGAATCCCATCCAGCCTGCACGAGTCACAAGCACCTTCTGGAAAGAGATGACTCTAACAGAATCCTGAAGGATGGTTGGGAATGAATCAGACCTGAAGTAAAGAAAGCATGTTCCAGGCACATGAGCATCTTCTGTGTGCTGGACTACCTTAGAGCAGCGATGACCGGAGAATGGCGCATGCGTCCACATGGTGCCTAATGGGTCTGGAGAGATGACTCAGCAGTTAAGAGCACTTGCTTCAGAAGGATCTGAGTTCGGCTTCCAGCACCAAAGTCAGGTTGTTCACAATCACATGTACCCCCAGCGGGAGGGTCCTGAAGCTCTCGAGTCTTCTCAGGTACCTGCACACAGAGACATAAGACAATAAAAACAGATTTTTAGAGCTGCCTAACTGGGTGCTCTTCTGGAGCCGCCCCTCCACCCCCTCCCGTGAGTAACACAGACTGTTTTCTTCCAGCCAGGGACAAGTGGTGGCCTTCAGACCCGCAGATCATTTCCGAAGGGCTGTATGCCATTGCCGTCGTCCTCAGCTTCTCCCGGATCGCCTACATCCTGCCAGCCAACGAGAGCTTCGGGCCCTTGCAGATCTCCCTGGGCAGAACTGTGAAAGATATCTTCAAGTTCATGGTCATTTTTATCATGGTATTTGTGGCCTTCATGATCGGAATGTTCAACCTGTACTCCTACTACCGAGGTGCCAAGTACAACCCAGCGTTTACAACGTGAGTACCCAGCGCTCTCCCTCCCTGAGCGTCCCCCCTGCCCCACCCCACCAGGTTTCCTGGGGATCCTTGGGAACTTCTTGCTAGGGGCTTCTTGAGGAACTCAGGTTCCCTTGAGGATGATGTGATTCATTCTAAATGGTGTAGGGTTTAGGTCCTGACTTTGCCACTATGTAGCGCTGGCTGACCTGGAACTCCTGATGTAGATGAGGCTGGCCTTGAGCTCACAGAGCTCCATCTGTCTCTGCCTCCTGCTGCTGGTATTAAAGACATGCGCCATCCCCAGCCATTTCTTCATTTTTAAAATGGGACTGTATTAGTTGCTTCTTTGTTGTTATGATGAACACCACGACCAAAGCGACTTAAGGGAGAAACAGGGACTACTTAGGTTTGCCGTTTCAAGTGGGGGTTTCACAGTGGCAAGAGAGGCACACAGTAGGCAGATGGATCAGTAAACTAAAAGATCACATGTTCAGCCACACACGTGAGGTGGAGGAAAAGAGTGATCTGTGAACTCTCAAAGCCTGTCCCCAGTGATAGACTTCTTCAGCAAGGCTACACCACCTACCTCCCCACACAGTGCCACCAATTGGGAATGAGCCTCTGGGGACATTTCTCTTCCAAATCACCACAAGGGGTAATAATAATAGTTCCTGCTTCGTGACAACAGTGTGAGGATTCAGTGGGATGGGGTAACCTGGAAAACATGCACTACATGGCTGGAGAACCATGTATTTATCATGTGTGATTATTACAGCAATATACTTAACCTGCATTACTTAGGAACAGCACCCAGACAAAACCCTCATACTAACATACTACTAGATCCAGAGACTTATAATCCAGGGGAAGAGAGACGAGAAAGAGGGCGAGCAGGGTGAGAGAGAAATGAGATCTGGGAAAGGTGGGTACAGGCTGCTACCCTGCATGCACCCTGAGCACAGCAGACTTCTCCAGGGAGACAAGATGGAAGCACACGTCTCTGAATAGCCTACTGGAGAGACAAAGGGAACTTATCCGTCAGATCTCTCCCGCCTGCTGTCCCTCAGGAGTCAGATCCACTGACTCCTACACTTCCAGGGACTTGCTGAGGCCCAGGTCCGCAGCTGTCCACACCTGGCTGAGCACAGAGCAAGCTCTGTAGCTCCATGCTCCTCTGCAGTCAGAGGGGAGGGAGGCCCAGGCAGGGGAAATGGCTGATTCAGCTAGCCAGATGCAGGACAGCACAATGACTTCACACCCCACCGCACCCCCGAGAGACAGAGCTCATGCAGCCTGTGTGTAAAAGATCCAAAACTCCTCCCTCCGTGAGGAACAGCGGGGTCTCCTGGAGGCCACCAATAGCACTCAGTAGCCCTGAGCCAAACTCACACCGTGACGGACATTACTGGCTAATGTGATGTAATGACCACTAGCCAAGTCATCGGATTTGGTGTCCACGTCTGTGTTGATACAAAAACCCCATCTCTCATTGTAAAGGAAACAAGAGATGGTTTATTCCAGAACCATTTTGAGTAAGCATGGCCCAGGGATACAGATTTAGGTTACCACAAAGTCCATGTTTCTACATGGAAGCAGTTTCCTGAAGTTGTATTTTTTTACGGAATGGTTGGGTACATCAGAGAGGCAGGTACAGTGAGATGGGAAAGGTTTCTAACAGACTCAGGATGCTAAGCTTCCGGCTTGGCAGAGGCTGGTGGACTGCTAAGGTAATCAATATTAAGAAGGTTTTTTTCCATTGTCACAAGATGTTTGTCCTGACACTTTGTGTGGACAAAGAGTGGCTGGTCTGGGCAGGGCTAGAACTAGCCCAAGATAAGGTAACCAGCTTTTGGACCTGCAGAATCCCAGTCTTGCCACAGAACTCAAATTCTATTCAGCTGAGAAGTGTTCACTAACACAGCTTCTTTCCAGAAGTTCTCGTCCACATCCGTAAAGAGGGAACGAGACTTGCCTTCCTTACTCAGAAGTGCCTTCGCCCACCTCAGACAGCTGAGGTGTTCCATGTAGAGTGTCTGGGCACACTGTCTCCAGTCAGCCTTTCTCCAGACCCATGAGTTCTAGAACTTGCCATCGTCAAGCTCTGGCCAAAATCTTGTTGCAGCTGGTTCCAAGAGGGCTAAGAACCTCCTGACCCATGTCCCCAGGAAGGCCTGAGTAGCCTGACATTTCAGTTCTCCAGCCTCTGGAAATGACTGTCCTCTGAGCAATCCCCACCTTGTAAGAAGGCCTCTGCTTGCCCTGCTCCTGGAGAAATCAGGCACCAAGGAGAGAAACTTGACCTCTTGCTGCTTACCCAGAACTGTGGGTGGCACTGCCTGCTCAGCTGGGTAACCCTGCATGCTGCTGAGTCCCAGGAATGGAGTGTCCACAGAGAAGTCCCTGCCAGGCCCAGTGCTGAGGATCTACAGAGGCCTGTATGCATACAACACCCAAGGGTCAGAAAGACTAGATTTCCATCTGCTCCTAGCTGGGACTCACTGTAGCCTTGGGCAGGCTCTTACATCCCTGGGCCCTGGATTGCTGCAGCTCTGACAGAAGAGGTGTGAAGAAGGTCAGCCTCACGGGATTGTTGTTAGGATCCAGATAGAATCAGGAGATCCAGTGCAGAGAGCCTGCAGTGATTGGCAGCGACAGTGACGAGTGTGGGGGCTGAGCCAGCACTACTGGGCCCTCTCTGGGCAGTGGTCTAGCTGTCAGACTGGCCTCCAGCATAGGATGTAGTCAGTCAGACTGGTTGATATTTCTCCAACACTCGTTGAAGGAATGGAATAAGCCTGAACCACCCAAAAACAAATTTGCTGTGAACACGCTTGGAGGGAGTGCGGAGGATTGGCTGAATTGGAGGATGATGGGACAGGATGTAAAGGCATCTAATCAGCAGGCGCCACATTGTCGACAGATGTGGGAAGATGCCAGCCAAGAAGCAAGGGCTCTGTGTTTCCAGCCCAGCACAGACAGAGCCATGCTCAGAGTATTTACCCATCAAATGCCTCGCAAACAAGAATGGGGAATGAACAGGAGAAATAAAGCCAGATTCAAGGCAACCTAGTAGGCCACTGGCCAGGCCATCCACAATTTGGGCATCTGTGTTGTCTTTGTCTGTTTGGCTGTTCTGGCGGCCCCTCTCCCCTCCCCTGACCACGTCCACAGGACCATGAGAGAGGCCAGACTCAGAGTGGACCTAGTCCAACCACCGTTCTCAGCTAAGTGCAGCGAAACCAGTCAATAGAGGGCCTTAGGGCAGGGTGCCTGAGCTGGAGTCCACAGGTCGTGAAATCAGGATGAAAGGTAGAATCGGGGCTGCTAGGGGGATAATAAATACACTCTGTGTGCCAGGCACCAGAGATGCTGGAGACCAAACCAACAATGACCTCAGACCTCTCAGGGTGGGGAGGAGGAGTGAGCGGCACAGCAGACACAGTGAGGAAAGAACAGGAACGCCTTCTCCTCAGCAGTTCCCGGAAGGGCATGTGTAGCTGGGAGTGGGTCTGATTGAGTGGGAAAGTCGATAGAGTGATGAAGCAAAACAAGGAAAGAATGGATTTTTGTAAATGTCATCGCTTACCTTTTGACTGCCTGCTGAAGCGTGTCGCCCCCAAGAGATCAGCCTTGGCATTAAAAATGCCAGGAGGGAATAAAGGAGGCTGTGTTTGGGGACTCAAGGTTCCTTAGTGTTGGTGTGCTGGTGCTGAAGTTAGACACCCACTGGAGTGCAAAGCTAGGTCTTCCCTCTGCCCCGCCCCCAGCACATACGCACACACGCACCCCCCCAGCACACACACACACACACACACACGCACACGCACACACACACGCACACACCACACACAGGAAGTTCTTTCTGTAGATTCTGGAGTTGCAGACTAAGACAGGGCTCCTCTCCTCTGTGCTCATGGTCTTCCAGAAGCCACGATCCTGTGGGAGGGCCTTTGGGTTCGAACACACTGCAAGAGTCATCTCACCTTTGCTTTTGAACCTGACCCCCAATTCCATGCCTTCTGTGTTCAGGGGAGACTGGGCTCCCAACAGCTGCTCAGGGAGTCACTTCAGAAGGCTGCTGTTAAGATCCTTCCAGGAGCCTCCTCACAGGAGCTCACCCTAGGGTAAGGTTCAAGGCAGCTCGCAGAGCCAATGAGAATGGAATCTCACTAAGCCCTATGCTGTTAAGGCGAGGGTATGACATATGTTCTGAGAGTACTGGGAAGAAAAGGTAAAGTGGGGTTTCCTATGGACTGCGGCCCCCAGTCCTCAACCAAACCCTGTTCAGATTCCCAGGGTACTCCTGTTCTGAATCAAGGACCACTCACTCTTCCCCCTGATTCCCATTTCCTCCACCCAGCAGACCTCAGGTGAGGGACTAGGAGAATGTGGGAAGGTTGAATGGGTCCATCTCCAGATATGAACAAGGACCCAACATCTTAGCTGAGACCAGCAGTCCTTGGATCACATCAGGATCACCCAGGGACAGTGGCTAAATTTCAGGTTTCCAGGAGCCCGCCTCTTGGCATCTAATTATGGAGCTGCAGAGCAGGCCCCAGAACACTGTGTGAACTAAGCCTGCTGCTCCCTGTGCACCTCTGCCTGAGTGGCCAGCCCTGGTTAAGCTCAGCGGGCCACAGGACAAAACAAATGAAAACCTGTGAAAGCACCTTTGTTGGGAGGAAGAGAAGTTAATTGAGGGGAGGGAGATAAGGGGGAGTCAGGATGTGAATGAGATCAGAATGTGTCATACACATATAAATTATTAATATTTTTTAAAGAGCCAATAGGATTTTGATACATGATTAGGTCACAGGTTTTTTGCTTTTAGTGTGAATCTAAGCTGGGGGTGGCTTATGAGGACCTGCGCTCAGTTCCCAGAACCTACATAAAAAAGCTGAGTCAGACGATGAACCTGCAAACCCAGAGGTAGGGAAAGCACAGACAGGAGGATCCCTGGGGCTCCCCAACAGCCATGCTAGCCCGATCCATGAGCCCAGGTTAGTGAGAGACCCCGC